GGTGAGGTTTACTTTTTTATTTAGCTCTAACAGAGCATCAGCTACGACAGGTGAGGTTTACTTTTTTATTTAACTCTAACAGAGCATCAGCTATGACAGGTGAGGAGGTTTACCTTACTTTGTTTAGTTTTTTAAATTTAGGTAAGGTTTATTTATATAGCACTTTTCAGCAGCAAGGCGATACAAAATGTTTTACATGATTTAAGAAATGATACAAACAAATAAAAGAAAAAAATGGCTGAATAATAGCATATTAGGTAAGTAGTCTGTATAATCTAGCTTTCTGCAGATTACAGCTTCTAATCAGCTAGATTAGCTCTAATTTAGCTCCAAMAGAAGTATAATTTTCTCAGATATGTTAGTTAATTTCCTTCTTTGTTCTTCCTGCCTTCGTCATCATCCTCCTCAGTGATGCAGATATCCCTCTGGACATGGGCGTCATCAGCTGCAGCTCTCCTCAGGAGGCAGAACCGGGCCGAGCCAGCACTCCAACTCAGAGCGGGTTCTACATCTCCCTGAGCACACCGCCGCCCAAGAAGAACAAGGTGCAGAAACGTTTTTAAATTAAATTCAGAAAAATCTAACTTGGTTTACAGAACATATGTGATTCGTCACATCGAAACCAGGATTAAGTTCAAAAGTGGAGAAACAGGCAGATGTAGGGTTTTGATTTATACGTGTGCAAAAATTGGATTTTGTCAAAATTTAATGAATTAATGCCTTATAAATGTATCATTTGAATAAAATGTATAAAATATAATCCTAAAAAAATTTTGAAGCATTTTTTGAGCAGTAGCAACAACAACAACAAAAAAAGATTTTTAGGAAAAATAACTTAAAATTTTGAATTTTTCCCTGTGAGCTAACAATGTTTTTGTTTCTTTCCAATTGGGAAATCTTAATATACAAATACTATTTGAGGTTTCCTCTTTATACTGACATAAAAAATTATTCAATAAATTTACATAAAATTAGGATTCAGACCAGACAGTAATGTATGGATGTAACCAACAAGACAAATGAAGTCATATCTCTGGATAAACTGATGATATCAGGATGATCCAGGTATCAAAATGAAGCTTTTAAAGCAGGAATCTGAAAATGTAGTTAGATAATTTTGACCAAATTTGACTTAATCCTCATTTTATTATGATGGGTCGCATGTCATTATATATATATATAAAAAACCTAAACCTGACAGATTTTAATCTTTATATTTAGTGATTAATCTGGTTCTCGTGTCTCCAGGTGAACGTGGCGACTCAGTACGACCCAGATGAGATCATCGTCCTCTCAGACTCAGAATAACGTTGAATTTTTAAAAACTTTTCCACTGCACCTCCTGAAGATGTGCTTCGGATCATCTCAGCTGTTTTGTGAGAAGTTTTCCTGCTCGTCTGAACTCTGCAGAAGCTCCGGCTCGTCGAGGCGTTTTGACTCCATCAGCAGAGGAAACAGGATGTTCGTAGCTCCATTTAACACGTTGCCAAACAAAAGCCAAGACTTTTCACATTTTCAGGACATCTTTTCTGAACATTTGTGGGACACATGTGGGTTTAGTTTGTTTTTATCTTCAGGTCACAGCAGCAGCCTGATGCTTCGGGTGTTTGGACTTTCAGTTTCTGAGAAAACGATCCCCTGCCTATGGATTCCTGCAGACACTCGTTTGTTTACATGAACTGAGAAAAGGGGCTCTGGGTCTGCACCTTTTCTATTTATGCTGTTATTGTTTTTGTTTGTTTCTGAGTGAGTGAACCATGAGGTGTAATATCAACTGCAGCTGTGATAATTAGTAAAAATGGACAAATGAAAAACAGATTTTTAAAGTTTTATATAAATGTAGCTGCCAGTTTCCAGAAAACTGCTTTGTTTTTCTCTAGTCAACTTGCAACTTGTTTTTTCTCCTTTTCAATCAACTTCTTTCGTTTTTCTTTATGGATTTCTTTCTCTTTATATAATTAGATGTCTGAAGTCAGATGAAAACACAGTGAGTCASGATTATTCAGCTTTTTTGTTTCTAGAAAACTAAAGGTAAATAAAGTTTTGTTTTGGACAAARCCTCTGCCTGTGAACGTAGCCCACACTGCCACTTCTGACTTTATTCATTATAAAATGTTTTCTTTGAGAATATTTACACAGCTAAAAAATAAAACTACCGGATGACAGAGCGATTACCTGAAACTAAAATTTATTTTGTATTTTTATTTGAATGCCTTTTAGCAGAAACTAATCTGCAGAAATAAACCTTTTTGTTTGTAGTTTGAACTGAAAATCAGATTAAAGACATTTGATATAAATAACTTGAGTTTTATCTTTACATTTAGCCACAGAACAAACAAGATGTTTCTAACACTTTTAATTATGACTAAATTAATTTTCATTGAGTTATAATATTAGTTCATCCTGCTGTCATAGATCACTACCACATAAATAATCTCTACAAACTTAAAAAAAAATTAATCTTGCTGCAAAAACGTCTTAACCTGTTGATCAAATCTGAAAAAAGTAAAAAAGTCAGTTGTATTTTGACAGAAAACCTGGTTTATTTTTTATATTTGGTGCTGTTTGATGTGAATCTGTTACATTTCTAAATCTTAAAGGAAAATCTGACTCGTTTCATGCAACTATTCAATAATGTTGCTTTTCTCTTTAAATGTGGATGAATGAGGGGCTTCGTTTAAGACTTTGAGCTGTGTGTGTGTGTAAACTGATGAGTGGTCTGTTTTCAGGTGTTTTCACATGTTTACCCCTCTAAATACCCCCTCCCTCCTGAATGTTATGTTTGTAATATTTTACTTCACAGCTGAGATAATTGAGGATTTCAGACGATTGTTACTTCAATCTGTCCTCGTTTCTGCAGAGCAATCCATCTTTCACTGTGATTTTCTTTGTTTTTTCTTTTGATATTAGAATAAATGATGAATTTTGTTATAAAAAGTTTGTGTGAATTTTTAATTCAGTTTCACTTGATGTTTGTTCAGCTTATATCTGAATTCATCAGAGCTTCAGAAACATTTGAATTCTAGCTGATAAAAAACACGGACTTCAACTTAACTTTATATTTGATCAACAAATGATTTGTAATCAAATAAGAAGCTGAATTATTGTTTAATCTTTGTGGATGAACATGTTTTCTCCTTATATTTAAAAATAACAGGATGTAAAAAAAGCACACAAGTCGATTACTTTTCCCCAAATAATTTATTAGTATCATTAGTACATGGAAGAGGTTAATATTGATTCACTGCTTATTTCCACTCAAATCTCTGTACAACAATCAGCTGGTCAAACAGTTTGAAGAAACGTTAAGTAACATTTTTAATGTGCAAAAATAAAAACACTTCAGTTTTCAGCAGCAACTTTGAGGTTTTAAAATAATCCTTAAATCTGCAGATGAAATTAAAACAAAATGACACAAATCCCTAAAACGGATCATGAACTGATCAGAAAGTTTAAAATAATAAAATATGAACCATCTTTGGTTTGTTGGGAGTCAAACCTGCAGGATTTAATGTTTCTGCAGGATCTCTTGTTGCAGAGATTTTAATGTTTTAACTCTAAAACAAAGTGTTTAAAATTACTTTAAACGCGACGTAAATATCTGATGTTTTACCTTTTTTTATTGAAAGCAAAAATAAAATCTGTTCAGTCAGTAAAATTTGATTTCATCAACTCAGAACTAATTAATGTTTGTCAGAAAATGTTTTCTTGTTTGAGTAAACACAAATAAATGTTGCTCATCAGTGACGTTAATCTCTATATGCAGATATTTACATCTTCCAGTGTTTGCACAGTTTAAATGGATCAAATCCACACAAAACGTTSAGTCGTCAAACATTTACTGCTCTTTCAGCCGTTTCTCTGTAACAAACAACAAAACGACACATTAAACTTCACAGATGAAACAGACCCACAGCTTTAAAACTGCAGCAAAAACACCCAAACTGAGCCTTCACAGAAGGTAACACATGAAATCTATAACACTACGTGTGTGGTTCTCTGAAGGCTTCAATGTTTTTAAGAGGTTCTGTGTCRTAAAATATTCCACCAGTGACTGTTTGGTTCTGCAGAACACAAAAATATGTTTTTACAAACTGTGACTGGGTTAAAATAAAGGATTTAAAACCAGTTTTAGCATTAAAATGTTTGTTTCCAACATCAGACAGTAGCGGTACCAGGTATGAACACAAGGGGGCAGGTTTATTTAAAGACACTTTTCTGTTAATTTGACTGAATGTGACTGAACAGCGCCCCTTGTGGACAATCGGCAGCAATACAAAAAAAACCCAACAAGGAAAATCCTAGTGTTTGGTTTAAATAAAACAGAAAATCTACTGGTTACACTGTTTTAATGAGTTATTTTCATTTCAATTATTTATAAATTAGCTATATAATTGATATTAGACCTCACTGGTTCTGAGGACTAGTTTTATTTTAACATAAAAATGACAAATTCACCTTGAAATCATCAGATTTGTTCCCATACAAACAGATAAAACATGTATTAGTACCACTGCAGAACATTAAAACCAGTGTAAAACAATAAGAAAATAATGGATTGAGCTCAGTCCTGCTTACAGGGAGGCTTTTACACATATTTCTCCTCAGAATATGTTTTTTTTTTCTTGCAGCTTCTGTTTATTTTTCAGTCATTTGTTCAGTCAGAACATTTGGTTTTCTCTCAACAAATAAACAGATGGGAGAAAATGAAAATAAAATATTTTGCTGACCCTGCAGGTCTGTTTAGATGAGGCCACTTTAAATCTTTCAGATGTAAGAAAAGTCTGGTTCATCAGATGTGTTTATTCCCAGATTCAAATTGTTTTAAAGTCTTTTGGAAGAAAATGGGGGTCTTCCAGCAGCAGGAACCAGAAGAAACCCCTCAGAACCAACCCCCCCTCAGATAGACCTCTGATTTAAGTCACGCTGCTTTCATCCGGACTGACTTCACACACGTCTTCATCACACACACCCCGACCCAACCCGAGACCTCCAAACATCCCCTGCCCCTGATCCTGACCGGGACTCTGAGAGACCACGCCCAGCAGTGCCCCCGCGGCGCTGCTGTTACTTCCTGTGACGGATCCCCCTCCTCTGGCTCCCCCCTCACCTGCAGCCAAGAGGTGGGAGGAGGAGGAGGAGCTAAAATCCGGCCCGTCCTCACCTCCTCCGCCCCGCCTCCCCCTGTCGGCCCCGCCCCCGCCGGCCCCTCCCTCCCCCGGCCCGCCACGCCTCTCACAGTGCGAGCGGTGCCTCATGAAGCTGTCGCGCCACATGAACTTCTTGCCGCAGCTGAGGCAGTCGTAGGGCTTGAGGCCGGTGTGGGTCTTCATGTGCTCCGTCAGGTGGTGCTTCATCTTGAACTTCTTGGAGCAGACGGGGCAGTGGAAGGGCCGCAGGTCCAGGTGCATGTTGATGTGCCGGTCCCTCATGCTCTTGTGGGTGAAGGTCTTCCCGCAGTGACACATGAACACCTTCGCCGATCCTCCGGCGCCGCCRCCGCTGCACCCGCCTCCGAGCCCCCCACCGTCTGAGCCGTCGGCCCCCAGACCGGCCGCTCCATGCTCCAAACCAGACCCCTTGAAGGAGGCTCCTCCCATCATCCCTCCCGCCATCGGAGGAGCAGCAGAGTCCAGGGAGAGTCCCGATGCCTGGCTATAGAGCAGGATCTGGTTCCCCTGCATGTCCAGTGGGAAGAGCTGGGCCCGGGCCGAGGCTGCGGACTGAACCTGACCCAGCAGGGTTGAGACTGCCCGGTTAGTGTTCTGGTTCTGGTTCTGACCCGCAGTGCTGTCATGGAGGTGCTGAGCTAAGGTCTGTTCCATCAGACTGCCTTCAAAYTTCAGGTAGTCCTCTGGGGACTGGCAGTAGTCCACCTGGACCCAGACAGATTTAGAACTCAGTCATGAAGAACCTCAGAACATTTTGACAAATAAAAAATAATAAAAAGATACTTACATGGTATTTATTTATTTTTTATCCATATATTTTAGCTGCAATGATGCAAAATTACAAGTTTTTCMCTTTTAACTTTGACCCTTTAGCACCATCTAGTGGTCACATAAACACTGCACTATTTTTATCTAATCATCATTTTTCCACAAATAAAAAATAATAAGATAATTACATCATATTTAATTTAATTTTTATCCACATATTTTAGCTGCAATGAAACAAAATAATGTTTCTCCCTTTTAGATTTGACCCTTTAGCACCCTCTAGTGGTCACATAAAAACTGCACTTTTTTATCTAATTCTCATTTTTCCACAGATAAAAAACTTTTCCATCAGGATCGTTTCATCCCTGAACAGAAGGACCCCCGACACAAACGTCAGCTCACCTGTGAGTCCATGTCGCTCTCCGCTCGGACCCCCAGCTCGCCCGAAAGGCTCCTGATGTTTGAAATGTTGAAGTTGCCCCTCTCTCTGTCTTGCGCCACCAGCTCCACGTCCCTCTCGTCYTCGTCCTCCTCATCGTCTCCTCCCTCCTCGCCGGACACCACGATCAGGTCGTCGTCCTCGGCGCGCTCCGTTTTCACCACCACCCACTGCTTGCGGGGCATGATGCTGGGCTGGCTGTAGGTGGGACGCTTCTGGAGGGTGGAGTCCTCCCCGTCCTCCAGGGGGACAGATAGGGTCTGTTATTTATTCATGTTTACGTCTAAACAATAAACATTTAGTCAAGCTTTAAAGCACTTCCTGCTYGCCTCACCTGGTAGGAGGAAACACCGAAGCTGTCGCTGACCCCCACCTCCTGCTCCGACACGGAGCTGGATTTCTTCCTCCTCCCACTGCCTCCTCTTCCTCTCTTCCTCTGATGGTACAGCACCTCCTCCTCTTCWTCCTCCTCCTCCTCCTCGATGAGCAGGGCCTCCTCTCCTCCTGACGGGGTGCAGTAGCTGGGGGTGTTGCTGGCTCTGCCTCCATCCACCGAGGCCCCCGCTGCGGCCCCCCCGCCGTCCCGGGGGCTAAAGTAGTTGGTGCTGCTGGGGGACTGGCTCTCGCTCACCGGGGGCCGGCTGGGCGGTTGGGGGGCTCCCCGGGGCTCATCGGGGTCCACCACCTGGACGCCCCCCGCGCCGCCGGGTCTGTCTGCGCCCCCCTCCACGTGGCTGCTGCTGCACCCGGAGCCGGCCGACCTTTCGCCTCCTCCTGCTCCCTCCTGCGCTCCCCCTCCTCCCCCCACCCCCGCCGCCCGGCCCTCCCGCAGCAGCTCGGTGCATTTGTCCACGATGTGCCACATCTGCAGCACGCTGCCCACCGTCAGGTAGTTGACGATGTCGTCCCGCAGCATCTGCAGCCGACCGGTGTAGGCGCAGCTCAGGACGCTCTCAAAGGCCAGCGGGTCCATCACCGCCGGGATGGACACCGTGGACATGTTCTTCAGCAGCACCTGGACGCAGGCGGAGGGCAGAGTTACAGACAGCACGCTCACCTCCACCTCTTACATATGTGTTGACCCACCTGGTCGTGGAAGTACGGCGAGGACGCAGCCAGGACGCAGCGGTGGGCCTTGAACACGTGACCCTGGACGTGGACGGACAGGTCACAGAGGCTGCCGTCCTCTCGCTGACGGTTCAGGCTGTCCAAGACCGAGGCCTGAGCGCTGGGGAAGCTCACATGGACCACTGAGCCACCTGAGCCGCCGCMGCCGCCGCCGCCGCTGCTGCTGCTGCTGCTGCTGCTGCCCACCTCCATGGGCACCGACTGCATCTGGATGATAGAAAAAATAAAAACTTTATTAATACTCAGTGTTTTCAGCTAAACAACAGGACTCAGCCAGAACTTTTGTTGTTTCCTAAAGACATTTTAATGTGTCGGTGACATTGAAACAGGAAGTGACATCAAAGGGGAACTCTTTAACAAAACAAAAAAAAAAAACTCTCTTGTCTTTGTTTATTGAAACATTATTTGAACTCTTGACTCTTCTTCATCTCTCTGATAGACTCAAAATATCAAATTCTTCTCTACAGTCTGGGTTGTTAGCTACTGTAGCATCGCTCACTTTACATTCAGACATTCCCCTCTGACATCACTTCCTGTTTCTTCACAGGCAAATATCGCTACAACTGTTCATCTCAGTGACATGAAATTTATTTTGCAATATCTTATCAATGTTCTCTTTCTAAAAATGCATTCATATGTTTAACAAATTTGACATCACAGGCACTCATGCAAAAGTCTTATTTAGTTCAGATTATAATTTTGGAGCAATAACATTACAGAGTTTGCAGGACAGCCGGGTCAGASGTGAAGCATCTTAAGGAAACAAAACAGGAAGTCCTTATGTTCAACTCCTTTATGATGCTTTTTAATGCAATGTGAGTTTCAACAATTAAATCACAAGATATTTTGTGAATAAATCAYACTCATTGATTTAAGATAAACAGAATCAAAGAAAAATAATCTGCAGCACATATTCTGTCTGAAGCCTGTTTAAATGATTAATTTTCAGATTTTTTCATCAGACATCCAGCAAATGATACATGTTTAATGTATTAAATCAGCTAAATATCATAAATGAAGTGAATTTAATGACATCATGTTGCTTCAGACCAACAGCTCGACTGTACTTTCATGAGCTGCACATCTTCTGTTAATGACAGACAATAACACTTTAGTTACAGAACGCATTAAAAACCACCACCAGGAGCATAAAGACATTTTTATCAGACAAAAACTAAGCCGAGGGTTAAAAATCAAGCTCATAAAATGATTTATTGYCGTCTGTGTGACAGATAAACATCGATGAAAGCGTCAGACTCCCATCACTCCATAGATGTGACGTTAGCATGATGCTAGCTGCAGTTAGCTCAGCGGGTTAGGTTAAAAAACAAACCCAAACCCGGTTCGGCTCACCGTTTCAGGTCCTGCAGCCCTCAGCGGTCCAGTTTGTGGGAGGGAAGGAGGCAGATCGACCCGCCTGTTGATCCAGGACCTGAAGTTTCAGGAGCATACTTAAACAAACATCTTGTGTATCCGATTTGTGTGGCGGCAGACGCCGACACGTCGCCTTTAAGACGATTCCAGACAGACGAGCCAGACTTTGGCCGACAGAAAATCTGACATGAAATATATGATATATATTGGATCATGAAATGAAACGACATGAAATAGTAGAACAGCCTTAAATGAAAAGGGAGTTCAATATAAAAGTCCCTGAAATATGTAAAGTAGCTTTACAAAATAAAAGTATCACAA